AAGAAGAGTTTTTTGTTCGATCAACTATTAAAGTCTCCCGAGCGAACTTTTAATTCGTCCAAATCGTCCAAACGAAATTTACTTCGTTCGTGCATAATATATTCGCCAGAACAAATATCTATCTCGTTCAAAGATTTAATTGTAGAAAAAAATTATAAATATATCAAACTATGAAACTACAATTTATTTCAAATAAATCTATCATTTGTTCGAATAATTATTTTATACTATAGAACGAAATGAAAAACCCTTTCCAAACGAAAGAAATTTGTCCAAATAAATTTCTCATTTGCGCGAAAATATATATGTTATTCGTGTGTGTGGGAGGGGGGGGGGGTTAATCCTACAAAGCCGCTGTAAGATTCCCGTAGACAAAGTATTAAAAAGTAAAACTATCATAAGAATTTTTATCAAAATCATTAAAAAAATTAAAATATATATTTATATGATGTAACTACCTTCACAAGTTGTTTTTGCTAATTTATCTCGAATTGAATTCAAAGCATCAAAAGTAGACACATCAAACACATAAGCCGTTTTTGATGCCATCCCCTCAAGTTCAGACGAATCCACACCGCCACCGACACCAACAGAGAAGATGATGACGCCATTGCTGCGTAATAATTGGGCTTCAGACAAAGTGGAAGACTTATCATTGGACCTTCCGTCAGTTATGATGACTGCTATTTTAGGAACATCGTTCCTGCCATACAACCCAAAGCTCGTAGTTCGGGCATACTCGATAGCGTCAGCAGTATTTGTACCACCACTAACATACGGGATGTCAGAAATATGAGACTTGAGAGCAGATTTAGAAAAAAAAGATGTAAGTTGAAATGTGTTGTGAACAAATGTACTGAAGGACACGGCACCTACTCTAACGGTTTTAGAACCAATTTGAAATCCACCCACTGTTGCTTTAAAAAATTCCTTAGTCTTTTCGAAATTGTCGGGCCCAACACTTCCGCTGGAGTCCAGAATAAAAACAATATCAGCAGCAGTGTCTCCACAATCTGAGAAAAATAGATTGTCGCTAACAATTTCAATTATACGGTATATTTTAATTTGATGAAGATAAGGTTTTACTAATGAAGATATTTTATAAAGAATATTTCTGGACGGGATTAATGCTTCAAAATAATGATGGCACTTGGTGTAGATTAAAATTTATATGAGACTATGGAGGAAATATTACTGGAATGTTCTGGGGTTTAAAAATCATCAACCAATAATGGAAATCTCAACTTATACTTAATATAAATTCATGCATAGTTACCTGGTGCCACTTTGTCAATTGAAATCAGGAAGAAGAGTACTGCTGAAACCCGCATTGTGGAGATTATTCACTACACATACCTCACAATGTTATTTTAAAAAGTTACTCTGATATTTTCAAAGAAAACAATCCGTTGTTTTCGGATGATTCTATCTTTAATATTCTGTAATATCACAGAAAATAGTAATTATGACTCATTTTCAGATAGTCCAATTTTCAGAAATTGAAATTTTACATATACGAGGGTTGTCCAAAAAGTTCGTGGACAATGGCGTTTTTGTTAAAATGAATGGTTCAAGATATGCTTATTGTATACCAAAATATTAGTTATGAAAATCCAAGTAGGAATAGTTTGGTTTTTATTGTTTGAACTTAATATTTTTGTAAAAATCTCGGTCATTAAAGGTCGCCGATAGTGCGCACGGACCAGGGTTAAAATGCCATGAACTTTTAAATAAAGTGATCTGATTGAAATGATTATTTTCTTTTTAAAACGAGTCAAAGCTGAATAAAGATTTAATATCTCACAAATAAAGCGGTTATCGCCATTTTCTGATACCTTTAGTATCGCTTACTAAACAGACAATGAAAATATTAAGTGAAAACCGCAAGAAGTATGTTTCAAAAATTGACAAAAAAAGCGACGTCGGCCATCCGAACGGGACAGCGTCCAATCATACAATTATGGTTAATATGGTTGAAACGTCGTCAAAGACAAAATATTTATTCAAACAACTTAAATTTATTGGAAAATATTTATTCTAGTGATTTGTAATTGGTGTATACGATTTTTCAACGGTGTGTAAAATTTCGGGAGTCACTACAAGAATTGGAAAATCACTGTTATTTGATGAAAATAGGATATATTCCTATTCATGACGTTGTTATAAATATAGCGCCGTCGGGCTGGGCTGTGCATTTTGTGTTTACGAAGTGTTAATATTGATGACGCTCGTGAATTATTGTGTATTGTTTTGAATTTTAAAATTTAAATTAATTAAAATCTATACATAAATATTATTGCACACATTTGGCAATGTGGCATAATAAAGAAAAATAGCGTGCGTCTATGAACATGCGATAAAAATTCAAAATTCATATTTCTGACGTTATCATGAAATAAGCGTTACGTCAGACTGGCCCGTGCGACTTGCATATACAAAGTATTTACACCTATAACGTTCAGTAAATAGTGTGCATTGTTTTAATTTTTTGTACATTTACTCAATCATGGTCTATATTAAGATATTATCGTACATGTTTGCTATTGCGGACTTTATAAAGAAAATTAAACATTTGTCCACGAACTTTTTGGACAACCCTCGTATGCTGGGACACAACCTTTTATACGTGATAAAAGAAATTGAAGAAATACTTACAAAAACCCATATAATAAAGGCACCAATACTAGTATAGAACATTCCATAATTCAATATTTCTTTAACTTGGAATAAGATTATATGCTTTTCAATAGGATTTCGAAGAAACTATAATGAGAAACAGCGATATTCTTAAGATAGATCCTTTCGATGGCAGTAACGCACAAAACCGTATATAAGAACCGGGTTCATATAGTCAAGGGTGATTTTCTGGAGGACAGCCTCAACCTTATAAAACGTATATAAAATTCCAGGTTCATAAAGCCAAGACCAGAGAATTTGCACAAAATTCTTATATTCAATAACGTCTTTTGAATTTAGAAAAAATATTTGAAAAATCAAATGATTTTTCTTGATAAATTACAAGGACGTCATACTAATTTGAAAAAAAATTATATCATATACATGATTCAATTTTCTTTTTAAAAAGTGATTAAAAATTGCATAATCGATATTTTGCTAATATTTAGAGAAAAAAAAGCATGTTAGATACCTCACTAAACCTTCATGGTTATTTTTATCTTTATTGTACATAAACACACTAAGCTACGCTAAACAATTTCAATCTATTCAAACATAATGTTACATATATGCATTACATAACGATATAAAAAGAGAGAAAATTACGCAAGAAAACGGTGCGGTTTTTCTAACAACAACCAAATACGTTACAGCTGTTTTTAAACTTGTGATTAATACGTTAGAATAGGTTAGAGCCATTTTCATTGCTTCATATATCTCCGCAGTAGCGGACTTAAACGTAATCATTTACAAAAAAAACCTATTGACACTAGAACAACCGTGCGTATTAATGCGTAAAAGTATGAAAAAATTATATGGAATGTATATTAAAATAAATCAATATTGCTCGTTTTTACGCTGTGGATATAAAACAGTATTTTATTTATATCCGGTTTATTACGTTGCGGTTGTCCTCTAGGAAAACTACCTTGGCAATATGACCCCGGAATTTTATATAATTACGTTTTATTACGTTACGGCCCTGTGGCTCTAGAATTGCCTGAATGTAGAAAGGATATCTAGCTTTTGGTTAGATTCGCAAACATTTAGGTGAAATATGGGGAGAACGAACAGTAATCAACCTCAAACGTCCAATGAAACAATACAAATTGGGAGCAGAACAAACAGGGACCACTAAAAACATCAGAGGTGGGATCAGGTACCATGGAAGAGTAAGCATCCCCTATCGAACGGTCACACTCGCAGTGTGTTCTTTGTCATGATCGGGCAAACACGAAAAACTGCAGTCAATTCAGTGTTGTAAAAAATCGCCTAACAGTTAGTATAAAAAGCGTCCGTCAGATTTCAGTGACAATTCTGATAACGTTTCATGAGGTTCATATGAACAAGATGCAATCTGGAACGTACTTAATAAAAGAAATAATTACTAATTCACATTAAAGCTAAATTAAAATAGCATGTTCAACGGACCGCAACTGACAAAAAACCCTGGTATGTAACCATGTCTTCAATTTACTAAAAGAGAGAAAAAAAAGATATTCTTTAATAAAACGATGATTTTGACTTTTTAAATTACTTTAAATTTCGGATTGTCATTAGATTTTTTTTTTTTTTTTTTTTTTTTTTGAGAAAACGTAGGAAAAAGTTTTTCTCATTGAATTTCCCCCCCCCCCCCCCACAAAAGTCATTTTTGTCATTTGTATTTAACTTAAACAATAATATGCTTTCTTTGGTTGTTAGTTCGGAATTTAGTGTCGCAGCTGTTGCAGAAACAATTATACATAACCCGCGTTATTCCAGGGATCCATATTTCATTCTTACTGTGGCGTCAAGAAGCGCAAATATTAAGGTAGCTAAGGACACCTGAGCCCCCCAAAACCTCCCATTACATTTTGATTGTATATATATTTAACAAGAACAAAGTAAAATGTTTTTGGGAAACATTTCTTTTTTTTAGGAAAAGGTGATCAATGAATAGTTTGGGGGTTTTTTTCACAAAAATCATTTTTGTCATTTGTATTTAAAATATAATAATGTCTTGTACTCCTGATTTCAACCACATAGAGATCTAGAAGAAAACCTGCAATTTTCATTCAAAGAAACTTTTTTATTTACTACTCACGGATTTTGCTGATTAAGTAAGGAAGGAGATATTTCTTTTGTCAAACATGATATGAGCAAAGAAGTTGAAGAATTTACTTACCTTCACAAGAAGTGTGAGCCCTTTAGACATGGCACGTACGATTCTTCCCTTATATTGACATCATATTGGCACTTAACAAATACTTAAACATTTAAACAGAACATCATGTAAAGCTGCACTCAGCCCTCACTTCATCATTATAAAAGGTAAACAAGCTAAAGAAGATGGATTCTTTGTCTACAATGGAGATTCTCCGTTATCTCTTACTTTGTAGTTTATACCTTGCAAACGGCGTATTAGGGAAGGTAAGTAATTTGACAGTTTTTATTTTTTTAGATAATTGGACGCTAGACAAAGTAACACTCTAATTGATCGATTTATTTTTCCTTCCAGACTGTGTATAGCGAAAAATCGGTCTTTAACCGTCCTGAAAGTATGTAATAAATAAGAATAAATTAATTATAAATATATATACTTGCACCATTGTAAATTTGTACTTTAATCTATACATGAATATAATTTGTTAAAAAGACTACCCTAAGCAATTTACAGATTAATAGTATAGGTCAAATTAAGTCATATTTTAACAATCAGTAATTTGATTTAAGGTGACAAAATACCTCCCACAATCTGGGAGTGTCCAGATAATAAAAGTGTAAAGGCAGACGAAGGGAGGTTAACAAAAGTTGTCTTCTGGAAAGAGCCGTACGCGAATGACACTAAGGATGGATATGTAAAGTAAGAATTAATAGAAGAAATAAAATTCATGCATGGTAAAGTTTGCAGATTGGAAGAGAACAAAAAAATTGGAAAAAATGTGTGGGCTTATTATGTTGAAATGATTTTCATAGCAGTATTTAATTTTATCATTTTTGAATGTACTTAAGGTTCTGTAAAAAAAAAAAAATGCTAATGTTAGATCTCAGGAATGTGTTTTCTTTATTTTTTTTTTTTAAAAAAAAACCAGGATTCATAAAATGAAAGGCAAGAATCCAGGAGATACCTTCCAAGGTCACACAAAAATAGAGTATTACGCACGCGATTTTGATGGAAACATGAGAACGTGCTCCTTTACCATAGATGTAACAGGTCTTTCTCTCTCTCTCTCTCTCTCTCTCTCTCTCTCTCTCTCTCTCCAATAAAATTTTATATTTTAGTTAATGAATCGATGAATTAACGTAGCAGATACTAAGTAAAAGATGATTTTGCTTTTAGCTTCAAACACTATATACATAAGAGACTCACACTCTTTCTTATTTCTGTTTTGAAGCCACTCGTTGCCCCAGTCTTGTTCTGGGTCATGGCGTAATTAAAGTATGTACAGATTACGATGGAAGATATGGTAGCAGATGTGAATTTGACTGTTATAATGGATATACCCTCATTGGCAAACGTAAGATAGGGTGCCAGTATAATGGAACGTGGGATTCGGATCCTCCAATTTGTAAAGGTGACTTCTGCATTTTTCAAAGTAATTTATTCATTTTTTAAAACCTGATTTTAAAAAAATAGCATTTCCCTTTTAATTCCTCTAATCTGTTCATTTATAATACAATTCCCTTAATTAAATTCATCATATGCCTTCTTTATCTAAAAAGACTCCCACATATTTAAAAATCACTAATCAAACCTTGCTTGTGACCTAGGTTTTCTAGATCAGTATGAGTGATTATAGGGAGATGTTTTTGGTGCTGGTTCATTATCAATCACTAATAAGTTAAATATTGATCAGTCTTACACAGAAATGCGTCTCAAGATATTTCATCGATTTAAGTTTTGAATTTGTTTCCTTCTGAAGCATCTTCAGTTCTATTTAATTAGAGTTTTTCTCTGACAATTGAATAAACATGTAATTAAATATACCTCCGATGCTGACCCATATGTACTAATAAATGATCACGCCAAGGTTCAACTTATTGCAAATTTTTCAAGATACCACATCGCATATTATCAGTAGCAAAAAAATTGATAATGTTCCCAATTGTTATAGATTGAGAGTTATAATTAAACTTTATGATAAATGTGATGACTTCAGCCTTTCTATCTTCAACTTCCCTTATTAATGTAACAATATGCATACCATTATCACCTACATATAAGGTTTAATTATTCCAATTTATTCTATATGCAAGAACATGTTCTACTTATGATCATTTACTAACAAGAGGCGGCGTTTCACAAATAAGTTGATGATACAAGGATATCATGAATCTCGTATAAAGTCAATGTTTTGCAATTTCTTTGATTCAATGACCTTGTTTTCAACTACAATCAATGGTTAAGTCGAATGTTGAATATCATCTTTCCTGCAATTTGTTAGGCCATTGTTTTTGCACTGACTTGTCACGGATTTTTCCTTTACCCAATTATGACAAAGTACACACGACTGGTGGGACCAGTCCGCAGGGAATGCTCACTCCTCAATGGCACTGGATTTCCCCTCAGTTTTTAAGAGGTCTGCTTTACTCTCAATTTCACCCCTTATTGTGTTTTAATTTCAAGACACGTGATGTAATCTGACTACTTCAACGTTTAAAGGGATGAACTGGTTTTAAAATAGAATTAGAACTTTCAAAACCGTTTTTACACACAAATTTGCGCTTAGCAAAACCAATCATTAAAATAATATTCAAATGATATGCTCATATAATAGCCAAACTTCAATATATATGTATATATTGAAGAACTGAATTCTTTAGTTCTGAGAAATTATTTCTTTAAGATAACAAGGTTTGTAATGGTCTTTATAAAGAGGTGAATATGGGATTCAACCAATCATATTATTGATTTTGCATTTAACCTAAATTTTATACTTAAAGTATTACTTTAAAGGGTTTGGGGACTTTGTTCGAAGGCACTTACACTTAAACCAAAGGCAATTAAGAGTTACATAATCCAGATCATCTACACATGGACACTTTTATTTCCAAGTGGGTCTGAAAAGGGAAATCATCATTAAAATGTATTTATCCTAATGAAAAATTGGTAAATGCTCATTCAAGACTGCAGTCCTTCTTCAAAGCATAGACGTATAATGATTCCTTTGTTCTCATCGTCTTAGTAGCAATCTATTTATGTGAAAGACATTGAACCATTATACAAGTTTATAACATTATTTATATAAAGCAATTTAAAATTTTGTTTATATATATATATATATATATATATATATATATATATATATATATATATATATATATATATTTATATATATATATATATTTATTTATATATATATATATATATATATATATATATATATATATATATATATATATATATATATATATATATATATATATATATATATATATATATATATATATATATATCTCTCTATATATATATATATATATATATATATATATATATATATATATATATATATATATATATATATAAGTAAGATTTTTTGTTAGAAAATGCTGGTCTAAATAGCAGACTCTCTCGGATTTATTAGCTGTGTAATGATTCCTTTGTTCTCATCGTCTAAATCCCAGTCTGGTTAAGTGAACAATATTGAATCATTGTATAAGTTCATTAAATTATTTTCTATTAAACAATCTAAACTTTTGTTTATGTACAAGAAAATGTCAGCACTTTTTAAAGAAAATGCTTGTCTAAATATTAGACTCTCTCGGGTATATTATAGCAACATAAAGATATACACGCTATATAAACGCGATTTTTATGTGAAACAAATGATTAAATGATTTGAGAAACATGATGTGTAATAAAAAAAATAATTACTTTCCACAAAGTTTTACTAAATAAGTCGTTGTAATTACAAAACAATTAAACAAGATCTGCAATTAAGAATTCAGCTTATTTATGAATATTGATGAAGGGAGTGCGTATACAGTATATAGACACGCATGTCCGCGGGAAATCATAGACAACGACGTTGCATTTTGACTACGGTTTTGAATAAAAGTTAATATCTGTCATTACAGAGTAGATGGCTAATACTGGTTGTTTTCAAAGATAGGTTCTTTAAGCATAAAACGTATGCCATCCATGTCAAAAGTTAGTTTGTATACTATACAGTCTACCTCGTTTTCTTGACGCCATCTTTGTTTATCAATTTAAAAGTAGCGACGGTGTCACATGATGCTTGAATTTAAATAGAGGCATTACTTTCCTAGTAGGATAATAAATAATTATAATTTAAGACCTTTATAATGCGTTCATTTCCAATTGTGTAATTTACAATATTTTTGAAACTTTATTTGGTAAACAAAATAAATGAATTTCCAACTTTATTTTTAACTGACGCAAGTTAAAGCGTGTATATCTTTAAGTATTGTATAAGCCCGATAAAGGGATCAAAACAAATCTCATTATTGCTTTCATGCGCGAGGAAATTTATATTTTTACACAACGGAAGAAACATTTGGTGTTGTTCAAACTGTAATATTCGGGAAAAAAACTCTTAAGAACATTATCCATTCCCTTCTGTCATGAAAGAAAGTTTAGTTACTAAGGGTATCTTAGAATAAATTAGAGATATATTTCATTTTTCCAAAAGCTTTTACTTTTATACCTAACTTACACAAAAAAAAATTCTCATTTTCGGTAGATTCTAACTCAACTTTTATTTTCAGTCTTTTCTAAATGGAAATAATCAACCTGATATCATATTAGATAAATACAGAAAATTATGAAAAGTGTTTTTGGTTGTTCTAGAAAAGCATTGTCCTCCCCTTCCAAAACGAAAAGGCCTTTCGTATTTGTGCACCAATGATTTTATGTTCCAAAGTGAGTGTTCACTGATATGCCCTTCTGGATTTGACATTCCCCAAGGAGAGGGCAGAGTGAAATTTTGTAGAACTGATGGAAAATGGGTGGGATCATTTCCACAATGCATCGGTGAGGACACTTCCCTAATTTGTTTTTTTACTATTGTTTTTAATTGTTTACAGTTGTTGTTAATTGTTTATTGTTGTTAATGATTGTTAACGTTGTTGTTATAGTTGTTAATAATTGTATACTATTGTTGAATGTTTACTCTTGTTTTTAATTTTTACTGGTTTTTACTGTTTTTTTCACTGTTTACAGTTGGTAATGATTGTTTAATGTCATTAGTGATGTTTTTCTGTTGTTCTTGATTATTTAATGTTGTTGAAGATTGTTTATTGTTGTTGGTGATTGCTTTTGTTGATTGTTTACTGTTGTTGATGATTGTTTTCTGTTGTTGGTAATAATTTACTGTTGCTGTTGATTGCTTACTGTTGCTGTAGATTGTTTACTATTGCTGTAGATTGTTTACTGCTGTTTTTCATTGTTTACTGTTGCTGTAGATTGTTTACTATTGCTGTTGATTGTTTACTGTTGCTGTAGATTGTTTACTGCTGTTTTTCATTGCTTACTGTTGCTATAGATTGTTTACTGTTGCTGTTGATTGCTTACTGTTGCTGTAGATTGTTTACTGCTGTTTTTCATCGCTTACTGCTGTTTTTGATTGTTTACTGTTGCTGTTGATTGTTTACTGTTGCTGTAGATTGTTTACTATTGCTGTTGATTGTTTACTGTTGCTGTAGATTATTTACTGTTGCTGTTGTTTGCTTACTGTTGCTTTAGATTGTTTACTATTGTTTTTCATAGCTTACTGCTGTTTTTTATTGTTTACTGTTGCTGTTGATTGCTTACTATTGCTGTTGATTGCTTACTGTTGCTGTAGATTGTATGCTATTGCTGTTGATTGTTTACTGTTGCTGTAGATTGTTTACTATTGCTGTTGATTGCTTACTGTTGCTGTAGATTGTTTACTATTGCTGTTTTTCATTGTTTACTGTTGCTGTTGATTATTTACTGTTGCTGTTGATTGCGTGATATTAATGTTGCTGTAGATTGTTTACTGCTGTTTTTTTTTTTATTGTTTACTGTTGATGTTGATTGTTTACTGTTGATTTCGTTTTTAAATTTTTGCTAATGTTTTTAATTCAGATATATTAAAACCAAAGATAGAGAATTGCAAACCTTTTGCCTATGGTACGGCAGATCTAAATTCTACTAAAGGAAAAATATATTGGGATGAACCAGGAGTGTATGATAATGAAGACAAGGACATTATCTTACACAAATCTGAAAATATTTCCCCTGGGGACGTTATGGAGACTGGAACACGTCAAATAATATATACTGCTGAAGACAGGATGGGTAACAATGCAACACCATGCACAGTTACACTTTCAATGAAAGGTAAAATACTTTAAGTCACTTTTTATGGGAACTTCAATTTTCATATAATTAGGCGAGATCCCCTGCTCTAAGGTAATTTATTCTCTGTATATTTGTAGTATCAAGGATTATTTACATCTAGGGATGGTAATTTGTAATCGGTTAACTGAGTACTCAGTCAAAACGATGGCAATCAGTAAGAAATTCTGTGATTGGCTAGTTTAATACCAGCATTTCGTAAATTCTATGGTCGTATAATGAACTTGTTAGCAAATACTACCTATCATTGGGTAGCATTTGGACTGACATATTTCATACTAATTTTTAAGGCCTTTTTTATAATGAACTTGTCTAAGGATTGATCATTACATAGAGCTAACAGCGACTGTGACCGTCAACAGGAAATGCTTACTCTTTCTAAGCTCCTGATTCCACCTCTGAAATTTCCAGGGGTCCATATTTTATGCCCTGTTCACAGATTTGTATTATAAATGGATTTTTTTAGATCGGTCACTGTTCTTTATCTTTACCTATAATTGTATTTGTAGGGAAAAAGTAAATATATGTAAAATTGAAAACAATTTTCTTAATATTCAAGTTTAAAAAAGAAATCTCTGTACAAACGTTGATAATTTAGTGTTTTCACACATCTATTTAAACTGATGTGGAGGAAATTATGTCTCTCGACTGAGATTTAAATTTTAAAAAATTAATTTACTAATAAAACACAATATCGTTTCACTGACTGTACTGTATTTCTTAAATAAATTTATAGACATCACTGCTTAGCACTTTGAACATGTCTATCTATAGCAGTTACCTATCAAATTAAATTGTTACACAAACATTTAAATTAATTGATTAAGCTTTGACTTAGTGTTGATTAATATGGTGACAATGCAGAATGACATCTTCTCTGGAAAATTATCAGTAACTTCTCAGGAATGTATCATGTTTTCCTAGTTTTTATGCCCCCGTATCGAAGATCGGGGGTATATAGTTTTTGTCCTGTCCGTCCGTCTATCTGTTTGTTTGTTTGTCCGCACAAACTTTAACCTTGCCCATAACTTTTGATTGGTTGGAGCTATGACTTTCATATTTCACATGTGTATTCCTTGTGACAAAACCTTTTCTTTGGGTACCATCATATTTGAACTTTTGACCTTGACCTTGGAGTTTGACCCTCTTTTGCAAAATTTTATGAGACTTTAACCTTGGCCATAACTTTTGAACAGTTAGTTCTTGGGGTTTCAAACTCCACGTGTGTATTCCTTGTGACAAGACCTTCCTTTGGATACCAAACACTTTGACCTTTTGACGTTGACCTTGAAGTTTGACCTACTTTTGGAAAACTTTAACATTGGCCATAACTTTTGAATGGTTGGTACTACGGCTTTCATACTTCACATATGTATTCCTTGTTACAAGACCTTCCTTTGGATACCAACCACTTTGACTCTTTGACCTTGACCTAGGAGTTTGACCTACTTTCGAAAAATTTTAACCTTGGCCATAACATGTGAACGTTTGGTTCTAGGGCTTTCACATTTCACGGACATGTGTATCACTTGTGACAAGACCTTCCCTTAGGGCCAAATTTGACCATAACTTTGATGTTTTGCTTACTTTTAAAAATCTTTAACCTTCGCCATAACTTTTGAACAATAAGAGCTAGGGCTTTCAAATTTCACAGGTATATTCCTCGAGACAAGACCTTTCTTTGAGTACCAACATTTTTGATCTTTTGACCTGGAAATTGACTTGCATTTGAGAAACCTTAACCTTCGCCATAAGCTGCCATACGGAGGCATCAGTGTTTCACAAACACATCTTGTTTTTTATGACCCCGTAATCGAAGATTCGGGGGCAAATAGTTTTTGCCCTGTCCGTCCGTCCCTCTGTCTGTCTGTCTGTTTGTCCGCAAAAACTTTAACCTTGCTCATAACTTTTAATTGGTTAGAGCTATTGCTTTCATATTTCACATGTGCATTCTTTGTGACAAGACCTTTCTTTGGGTACCATCATATTTGACCTTTTGACATTGACCTTGGTGTTTAATCCAGTTTTGCAAAATTTAACTCAACTTTAACCTATGCCATAACTTTTGAACAGTTGATGCTAGGGCTTTTATACTTGACATATGTATTTCCTGTGACAAGACATTCCTTTGGATACCAACAACTTTGACCCTTTGACCTTGACCTCAGAGTTTGACATACTTTTGGAAAACTTAACCTTGGTCATTACTTTTAAACAGTTGGTGCTAGGGCTTTCATACTTCATATATGTATTTTTGTGAGAAAGCCTTTCCATGGGCACTATTAACTTTGACCATTTGACCCCGACCTTGATATTTGACTTACTTTTGAAAAACTTTAATCTTTTCAGTGTTTCACAAACACATTTTTTCCTTGGTCGATTGAAATTGAGATAAAATATGTAGACATATATTTTTTGATCAATAATCATGGCAACTAAAATGTTTTGAACGTCTAACGTCTTTTTAGTCTTCTTGTGTATATGAATAGAGCTAGCGCTACATGATAAAATATGTCAAAGTAAATGTGTATTTTAGCTATTTAATCGGTGGGAAGGTTTGCACTTAACCGATTAGCAATCATCTATTCGATTGCCATTGCCATCCCTATTTACAACCAAATTTTGTATTAAGAAAGCAATTAAAATTTTACTTTACAATTACTGAATAAATATTTAGCAAAAATGAGGTTTTGTGAAAATTTGATGATCTAAATTCCTGGACATGAATGCAGGCAGTGATGTAAAACATTCTCAGCTTTTTCAATAGCACAACTATTATACTTCTATCAATTTTGATACTAATAATGCTCCATCTCGAGAAGGACGTTAAATAACAAACAAATATAGCTAAAAGGGGCATAACTAATTCTTTGTTAATTTATTTTAATCGCTTTCCATGACGTAAATTTTCAGGTCTTTTATTTGGAAATTCAGGAAAGACAATGGATGTGTATGATTCGTATAAAATAAGTCGTGTACGATGCATACAGCAAGTATTGCGATCGTGTATATAAAATTGGGTTTCTTTACAGCTTTAACGTGTCAACGTTTGTTTGGTGATAATTTTCTGTCTGTGACATGTCCTTGGGGATATCAATATGGTGGACAATGCAATTTTTCATGCAGTATTGGGTCTGCATTGGTTGGACCCAACATCACAAACTGTGTCAGAAGTAAGGATGGAAAGTATGCCTACTGGGATTTTGGAAAAACACAACCCCACTGTGAGGGTAAGATGATGATGACAGCGATTTGAGAAATTCTTTTTCTTCAGTCCTTAAAGAATTAATAATAATAATCCAATATTCTGAAATTTATTTGCTTTCTCAACATGTTCAAAAAATGAATAATTCTCTTCTTTATTTCTTTGCAAATCTCAATGTGTGTTTCCTTTAATGTTATATTTTTTATAACCATAAAGATTTATAAAATTGTGGGAAAATAGATTTCATATTTTGTGAATTTGTCAAAAAGAAATTAGACTTTATATAAAAGTGTTTAAAATGAATTGCTGGCAATATTTTGCTTTTGTATATATTTCTAATTTGCTTCACTCAGTTTAAATGATTTGTTAAGTTTTAAAATCTTTTGATGTGTTATACAATAAAGGTTCTGAGATAAAATATATTTATAATTGAAAATTCTCGCAAATCATATTTTCTTCTTGCAGTTTATCGGGCTTGTGCAAATGTCCCTGTCCCGCCACAAAATGGTGCTGTTGCCTGTGATTCGTGGTTGGACGGAAAATTTTGCCAGGTTCAGTGTCAGGAGGGGTATTATTTTAAACCAGGATACCCTTTTCATGAGATGTTAGTTTGTGGAGACAGTGGAATATGGGAACCTAAGGAAGCTCTTCCTATTCCGGATTGTTCAAGTAGATTTTTTTCCTATGCTTTTAATTAATTTGTAATATTAACATCTAATAAAAAGTGATAGAAAAAGTCAGAAAAACATTGTTAATATTTCAAAAAGAATTATTAATGAATATATATTTTTTAAATACATGCATAAATATTTTTTCAAATATTTAATGCCTATATTTTTTAAACTGATGGAAAATACCTTCAAGAAATGCGGCATTCATCTATGTAGTTTATGGAGATCAGAACGTCCAAGAATCTCATTTTGGATGTTTTTTCATGCACCGCTGAGCCAATATTAACCAAACTTACCACAAAGCATATTTCAAGTTTGTTTAAATGATATATTACAACCTTTAAAAAATAGCAAAAATATAGTGAATGTCTTAAATTATCTTCTCCTTAATAATTGTTAAGACAGAAAACTTGGAACCTGTGAGAAACCATTATATTATTGTGTACATTTGAGTTTCTTAATGTCATGACAATCGGATGTACAAAACACTATAAAATTTTTACATAGGAATATATAGGGGAAAATCTAAAAATCTTCAACTCATGAACCACTTTGCCAGAAGAGTATGATTTTATGTGAAAGCTTTGTTATGACCATAATGTAAAATAACGTTATTCATCACTCTCGGGCGGTAGGGCGGAGGAATATAGGGATACATAAAAAAAAGAAAACTTTTAAAATCTTCTCAAAAACAGCAAAGGCATGCATAGCCATGTCGATATGAAAGCATTCTCATAAAGTGTACATTAGAGTTTGTTCAAAGCATGATTAATGGTGTTAGGGCCACAATGGACGGTCAAATTTTTACAAAGATATATTCATCTCAACACCTATGGGAAAAATCTTCTGAGGAACAGCAACGACATGCGCAGTTATGTTGATATGGAAACATCCTTAGTGTACATTAGAGTTCATACGATGATCCCTGGGGCAAAGTTGGGGCCACAAAGAAGGAAATCTGCCTATGAAGAACATCAGGGCCAAGATGAGTCAGAAAAGCGTTTTGACTCATGGGCCTCCTGGTTATTAAAAAATTACAATATTTTACCGATTCTTTTTGATTTTTTTTTCTTTTTAAATTAATATACAATTTTATAATATGCATGAACTAAAACAAAGTCTTAAGCTTACGAAACTTATAAAGAAATAAACTAATTTAAAAAAAAATTAAACGTTTCATTTCTGTAAAAAAGATAAAACTAAAGGAAGTAATAGAAATGACATCATAAATTTTTTTTAAAAATAAAATTGATTTTGATATGTTTCAATATATTTTATGTATATCTTATGTATACGAAACAAGTGTCGCCCGCGTGGCGCAGTGGTTAGAGTGTTCGCTCTTGAGTCGCGGAGTAAGGAGTTGATCCTTACGTCGCGGGTTCGAATCCCACTGTGGGACGTGGAGAACGGTCCTTCTGATGAGACCGTATAAACCGAGGTCCCGTATCGCAGTAGGTGCTGGCACGAAAAAGATCCCTCACTGCTCAATGGCCCTGATTGCCGAGTATAGGTCAAAATTTGTAGCTCTCCACCGGCAAGTGGTGGCGTCTCCATATGAGTGAAAAATTCTCGAGAGGGACGTTTAACAATAAACAAGTCGCAATACCCTTTGAATGTGTCACATTCAATCAAATTACATGTACAAATATTGAAACCAGTAAAATAATATTCTCAGTTGATACACTATTTCTAGATCACCTGAGTCAACCAGGAGACGTTTTGCTATCTGTATTTGTCTATTGTCGTGCATCATCCGTCGTCTGTCGTGTGCTGCTTGTTAACATTTCAGCATTTTTTACCTTCTTCACTGGAACACGTTAACAATTTCATCAAGTTTTTACATATCGCAGGGGTGAGAGGGAACAGAAATTATAAATTTCATGATCCGTATTTACTTGGGGCGTGTGGGGTGAGACTTAAACCTTAAAAATAAATGCAGTCTTCAAAAATCGTCTTCTTTACTCCTGGATGTCAAGCAATTAAACTATGGTATGAATGTAATAAGCATTAAACCAAGTGTGAAATTGTGAAAATCATGGCCCCTGGGTGAGGGGTGCTGGTGTTAAGGCGGGGCTCTATTGATCATGTAGTGAAAATGCATATATTCTTTAAAAAGCTTCTTCTCTCTCCCCCCCCCCCCCTGTTTATTATACAAATGTACTTACTCACTTAGTGGTAGATTATAATAAGCAGGGTTGCCTCTATCAAAATTGTGAAATGTGGGTCAGGGGTTCATATGTATCATATGTTGATCACATATTAAAAATGCATAGTTTTTCCCAAAAAATACCCCGGCCTCTAGATATTTAGTAGACAAACTTAAACATGTTCTCTGATGCATATGGATGCCTCTTCTAAATTTGTGAATTTCATGGCTCTTGAGTCAGGGGGATCTATTGTTGAAATAGTGAAAATGCATAGACCTCTTTCAAATTCTTCTTCTCTGCCTTTGAGTATTTAGTAAACAAACTAACTGAATATTTATGATGTAAGAGGATGTCTTACTTATTAGCAGTGGCAAGTATAGACAAGTTTTAAAATAGATCTACTTAAAATGATTTTTTAACTGAACATCGCATTTCTCTTGATTTTGTGCAATTTATCTTCATATATCTTTTTTTTTTTTTTGGGGGGGGGGGGGGGTTTATTTTATACTTCTATGGACCCTTTACAGTGTTGTATTACACTCTGATGACCTGAAAGCCACTGAACCTCTATTAACAAATATGTGTCCCTCAGTATAGGAAGCTTTTAATAATATCCTTTGTCATAAGTAAACAGTAAATGGTCGAAAAAATTAAAACGAATGTTATAAAGTAGAAAATGACACTTTCAAACTGGCATTTCCTTATTGCTAGCGAACTTGTCATCAAGCGTTTAATTACATGTAAGTAGTAATTTCGTAGCAACATTTTATTTACTGTATCTCTTCCAATATGATTTAAGTATTAAACGACTGATATAACCTGTAAATTGATCGCTTTTTAGGGGCGTTAAAGGATAAATGAAATAAACTGATATTGTTGTTACACCTTTATTGCTCCGGTTATCATTTCGATCTTTACAGAACAGTACGGGGTAAATTCTGCAAAATTTCAAATGTACTCATCATTTTACTACGACGGTGATTGCACCGATCCTATTGTACAAGAGAACATCCAACGAAATTATATCAATTCTTTGTCAAAGTCTGCGTTCAAAGATGCCTGTATGAAATATAAGAGCAAGTGCAAAATTGAAAATGTCAAGGTATGTCTTTAAAAATAATAAGTAGATTTTTAATTAAATAAGAATTCAAATTTTTTGTTGCGTGAATGGGTTGAACAATAATAAAGCAAAAAATTATATTTAACATTTAAAAAAAAGAGTTCTTGTTAATAACAGAGTAAATGAAGACTGCATTTTTTTTTTTTTTTTTTTTTTTTTTTTGTTTTCGGCATTTTCTACAGGTACTGTGTGGAGCTTCTACGAGAGGGAAGAGATCACCAAAATTAGAAATTGTTGTGGACTTTGTTATAGATTCAGAGAACTTCCAGACAGAACAGGGTTTCATGGGCATTCAGAGTAGTATGATGAACGTGTTAATAAATGAAAGTTCAAACGGAAGTCTCTCAATAAGTCTAGACGACAATGTTACCTTGACCGCTAATGATATCTCAGCAGCAAATGTCGCTTTTGAGTGTCCTAATAACACTTTCCCATCGTACACAACTTCCTCGTGTGGTAAAAAATTATCATTTTTGTAGGTTAAGTAGAAACTTATGAAGTCAATGAAAAATGATATTTTAATGGGGTCGTTTTAAGGATTGTTGATCAATGTACTTGCAAGGCTTAAATTTCCTTTTTGATAAGGAGACCAATATTCCCGAAGTATTTTAAGTACATATTTATTCCTGCACTGTGTTTTCTTGTACTATTTGGTGATGGTCATTAGAAAACTTTTTTACTTATACATAAATCTGTACCCATGATTTATTTGGCTTTTATAGTGGAGTGTCCAGCGGGGACATATTACAACCCTTCCCTTCAGACATGTCCCCAATGCTCTAAGGGTCACTATCAACCATTAGAGGGACAACCTTCTTGTCTTCAATGTCCCCTTGGTACGACAACAGCACAAGTTGGATCTAAATCGGCACTGGAGTGTTTAGGTACACATAGTTGAGAGAAATTACTTTTCATTTAATTACCGTCCTCTCAGGGTTTTGTTACATCTTTCAATACTTTCAGAGGCTTGTCCGTCGGGGTACTGGTCAGAGACTGGGGTGGAACCTTGCTCTCCCTGTCCCAGAGGCTTCTATGCAGAAAATTATGGTACCTCCGTTTGCACTGCTTGTCCTCCATCACAAACAACTCTAATCCAAGGCAGTAATAATGCTACTGAATGTACATGTAAGGTGCTTTTACCGCTTTTTTAACTCACCTAGGTCGAAGGCTCAGTGAATTTTTCTGATTAAAGAGTGTCTGGAGTTCTCTGTCGTCCGTAAACTTATAAAATTTTCGACTTCTTCTCCACTAGTACTGGGTCAATTTCAAACAAACTTGTCACAAAGCATCCCTGGGTGAAGGGGATTTAAGTTTGCTCACAGGAAGTGCCACGTCCTTTTTCAAGGGGAGATAATTAGGAATTCGTGAAAATTTGATGGCATCCTTTAAAAATCTTCTTTTCAAGGACTATTGGGCAAGAAAAGATTGTATGTTTAGTTGTTTTACGTCCCATTCGAGAATTTTGCGCTCATATAGAGACGTCAACATATATCGGTGAAGAGCTTTAAATTTAGACCTTAACTCGGCACCCAGGGCCAATGAGCAGTGAGGGATCTTTATCGTGCCAAAGCCTGTCGTGACACGGGGCACCGGTTTTTAAGGTCTCATCCGAAGGACCCGCAACTTTCACTTCAAATTGCCGAGCGCTTGGCGAAGGAACAGTTGCTACCTATTTATTGTCGACTTAGGTCAGTCGAGGGATCAAACCCACAACCTTCCGATCACAGAGCGAGCGTTCTACCTACTGAGCTACATGACAGTAAGAAAGGATTAAATTGAAATGAAAGCTTCATTACATACTCTAGATTCAAATCTGTTCATATCATAACCCCCGGGGGTAGGGCGGGCCACAAGGGGGGGGGGGGGTCGAAGTTTTACAAAGGAATACATGTGTATATAGGAAATGTCTTTTAAAATCATATTCTTGGGAACAGCAAAGCCATGATTAGTCATGTTATTAAAGAAGCATCCTCAGGTAGTGTTGATTCAAGATTCTTCCAATTATGACCCCTGGGTGTAGGGCAGGACCACAAGAGGGGTTCAAAGTTTACCACAGGAATATATAGGAAATATCTTTAAAAAATTCTTCTCAAGAACAGCTAAGACATTATTATCAATGCAGAAGTACTCTCAGGTAGTGTAGATTCAAGTTTGTTTCAGTCATGATCCCTGGGGGTTGGGCAGGGCCACAAGATGGAGTCGAAGTTTTACAAAGGAATGTAAAGGTGTAATAGTTGAGGGGCATTTGTGTAAAACGCATTGAAGACTTCAAATAGTAGAATGACCCCTTGGAATGGACTAGCCAAATGGTATATAAGGCAAAGCTTTGGGAAAGTCAGGCATTCAGAAGCTAGCTGAAGAAGTTGAATCAGCAATTAAAAAAAGGTTAAGGGTAAGAGCAAAGTAAAAGTATAAAAGTTATAAGCACAAGTAGCAAGTATCCTATGATTGATGGAATTGTTGTTAAGATCAATCAATAGGAACCTAGGGGAGAAACACGGTGCAAGTATAACGTTACAGACTTCGTCTTCAGATAAGAGAAAATTTTTAGTACTGTGTGATTAACCCTCAGACAGAGCGGTCTTAATAATCATTATATTCCAATCATTAACTCAGACAGAGTAAACGGAAAAGCTATATATCCCTTGTAGAAACCTGATCATACATGTTACATAGGAAATATCTTTAAAAATCTTCTTCTCAAGAACAACTAAGCCATTATTACTCATATTTATACAGAGGCAACCCTAGGTATTGTAGAATCAAGTTTGTTCAAATTATGCCCACCAGGGTTTGGGGGGGGGGGGGGAGAGAGGCACAACAGAGGATCAAAGATTTACATAAAAATATGCTTAAGAACAGCAAAGCCATGATTAGTCATACTATTATAGAAACATTATCGGGTAGTGTAGATTCAAATTTATTCAAATTGAGGGTGGGAAGGGTGGGGCTACAATGAGCGATCGGAGTTTTACAAAGGGAAAAGAAATCTTTAAAATTCTTCTTTCAAGAACAGCAAAGCCATGATCAGTAATATTGAAATGGAATCATCCTGATGTAGTGTAAATTTAAATTCCCCCTCCCCTGTAAACTTTCAATACTGAACTAATTTCTGCTTTTTCCATGCCAATGTTCTCAGGCAAGCGATGTGGCTTATGAGTCTCTTGTATTTGTTTTATATTTCTTATTAATTACAACAACTATCAATGAATCAAGTAATATACAAGAAAATTCAGATGATAAATCCAGTTATACGTTGTTTTCTTAAAGGAGAAACTTCAAGAGTACTGTGCAACAATATATTTGAGAAGTGGTGTAAATCAGATGTGGATACTTAAAAATTCCAAGGAACTTTTGGAAAATTTGAAATCACAAGATTAGACCAAAATCAACAGCTTAAAAACTTACGACTTTTCAACTTTAAACACAATCATTCCCCACGATTAAATTAATGTCCAGGCTTTTTGATATCACTGACAGCTGCTTTTTCAATAAAAATGGAACTCGTAAATTTACCTACCTTGTCATTAGTCATTTGCAAAATTATTTTGTTAAAATCATTCTGATTGTACACACAAGTACTCTGAAGTTGACATTAAAAAGATGCTTGAGTTTCTCATTGACAATATCTATGTGGTTTTTTGAGACCAGGTCTTCCAACAATCTATTGGAATTCCCATGGGTACCAATTGCGCCTCGTTATAAACAGACCTATTTTTGTATTCATATGAAGCAGAATTTGTCCAAAATCGTATACGTGAAAAGAAGAAAACACTTGCTATGGCCTTCAACTCGACATTTAGATATATCGACGACGTATTGTCAATTAACAATGGTTATTTCCATTCTTATGTCGATACGATATATCACGTTGAGCTTGAGATAAAAGATACCACAGAGTCTGACACATTTGTTTCATATTTGGATATTTTACTTGAAAAAGACGTTAATGGAAATCTAACAACCAAGCTTTATGATAAACGTGATGACTTTAACTTTTCAATCGTCAACTATCCTCACTTATGCAGCAAAATACATTCATCGCCTGCATACGGGGTTTATATCTCTCAGTTGATTCGATACACGAGAGCATGCTCTACGTATATACAATTTCTAAAACGAGGTAAATTATTGACAAACAAGTTGATGAAACAAGAATATCAGTAGTCTCGTTTAAAGTCATCATTTCGTAAGTTCTATGATCGATACAATGACCGTGTCAGCAAATACAATTTATCACTGAGTCAAATGCTGACTGACGTTTTTCATACTAATTGTTAGGTCATTATTTACACACTGAATTGTCGACGGATTTTTCCGTTATTTCCTGATCATGACAAGGAGCACACGGCGGTAGTGACCGGTCGGCAGGGAATGCTCACTCCTCCATGGCACCTGATCCCACCTCTGATGTTTCGGAGGTCCGTGTTTGCTCTGCTCCTATTTGTATTGTTTTATGGACTTTTGAGCTTGAATACTGTTCGTTATCTCCATATATTTTACGTTTATGGTAACCTTACAACAAAGCTCTATAATAAACGTGATGACTTCAACTTTTTAATCGTCAGCTACACTTATTTAAGTAGCAATAAACCCTTGCCATTTGCATATGGGGTTTATGTCTCTCAGTTGATACCTACCTTTGATGTTTTTGGAAGTCCGTGTTTGATCTGCTCCCGATTTGCAATGTTTAAATGGACTTAAGGGAGCCGACTGGGGTTTTATTGTGTGAAAACTACTATAGAGAAACTCTTTAAATTTAAACCATATGTACCTTACACTGACTTCAGTAAACATGCCAAGTTTAGTGAAACTCTACAGTCTGGTTATTTTTTAGGGACCATCTCAAAATACAGGTACATTTACCATAGGAAAATACTATTTTTTCGCACATCGGAGCAAATTATACAAATGCTACTGTAGACTTTTTGCTCAAATTATATTATTTGATGGGTAATACTATATTGTACACTTTTGGCAAGAAACACAAAATTCTACCGTCTGGTTTCCAGAGGGGGTATCTCAAAATGTCAAAGATCGTGATATTTTCCCGTTTTTATGGAGTACAACAAAACATATTGGATACCACAGATTTACATAAAAAATAATAAAAATGATTGTGAGATTCTCAATTCCCCTTGTTTAAAATTTCAAGAGCATCTATTTTATACTTTTTATTTTATGACATAATTGATGACCCCGCTTAAAGTACTTCGGTTTTTCCTAACGTCAAAAACACGCTATTACGACGTCTATCTACCCGTCATTTGAAAAACCGTTTAAAAAATCAGTTATATAAAAACGTAATTAGATTTTTTAACCTTAGATTTCCCAAATTTGTTAATTTTTATAAATTATGTAAAAATAGTTGCTTTAAAAGAGTAAATACGCTTTATTTGCTATGCTGCACGAAGTATTGCGCAATGAAAACTCCAGTCTGCCCCCTTTAGAGCTTGAATACTGTTCGTTATCTCTGTGTTTCCACTGGCGGATTTAAGGGGGGGCGTGGGGGGCGCACGCCCCCCCCCCCTAAAATTTTCAAAGTATGACATGACTAATATTAATAATGCCATACTTTGGTTTTATAATTAATGGTCAATTAAAAAATGGTAATTTTAGATAATGACCAAGTATCGGTTTTCTTAAAAATCAAGTCTGAAAACCTTGCATTCCCTAGACTATGAATATTATCTCATAATTTATTCAAACCGGAAAACGTCTCCCGATTTCGTTTGAAGGGTAGACTACACTTGTCAATTTCCTATCATGATGCAAGGAAAAATATTACAATATTTAAAGGCTGGTGGAAGGTAAATAAATGAATTTAAAATCAGACGGTCTACGTTACAAACCCGTCCACTGATTGATGTATTTATTTATCAAATGGTGTAACTATGCAGTAATTTACTTACATAGATACAAGACTTTTTTCATTACACACATCTCATAATCTTTCCATATAAATGGAATTTAACGTCAGGATAAAGGTTAGGATGGTATAACTTCGACCACCTGGTTAATTTCGACCGTTCATAAATACCTTAAAATAATTTGTTTATAACCCATTATAGTGTACATACATCTACATGTATTTTATGCAGAAAGAAAACGCATTTTTCATATACAAATCAATGTCGATGATAATAGGCGAAATTTATTTCTTCACTGGAAAATTACATCCAAGAAGAAACTTTATCGCCCGAAAAATTACGGACGAGTATTTTTAAACCATTGCGGGGAATTATCAGTTTATCACCTCTGAAAATATCTTGTATATATAGAAAGACACAATGGATATTCCTGGCGTGAAATTTATCAACTATGTTTAAGTTTGCAACTTAAATTCATACCTTTTTAATTTATAGTATTTAGTTTTTACAAATAAAATGCAAATCAGCTGAACAGAAATCGGCCGAAGTTACCCGTGCATGAATACGGCGTCAGCGGGTAACTCAGTTCGACCAATGAAAAAGACGCAATGCTATTTGTTACCAGAAAAAAATCATGACCACCGTCCGTATAAAAAAAATATTAGGATAAGTACATTTTGAAAATTACTTCTTTTTTTGTCAGCATTTTTTCACAATTTCTTATGTTTTACAACAGAATAATTTAAATTAATATATATATATATATATATTTTAAAATTAGAGGTGACGCGAATAAGTTTGTTTATATTTGCACATCGATCGAAAATACCCCGTGTGCGGTCGAAGTTACCCAACACGCATACCTTGTAAATCGAACACATTTATTTTATATCACATGTGACGAATAATTAATACATATAATACATTGTAATCTGAACAATAAAAGGTATTTCGAAGGAAAATGGGTCCAGTAAAAGTTGAGCGTAATACATGTAATAGGCAGTGACATACTTAAACAAATCTAAATATATAAAAAAAAAAAATAATAATCGGTCGAAATTATATACACCACGGTACTTTGAAAAAAACATTCTGATTTGTGTAACTTCTTGTATATCTAGGTAAAATGCTATATTTAAAATCTGATCTTGTTCGTTCGTTGTTTTTTGGTTTGTTTTTGTGTGTGTGTGTGTGTGTTTTCTTTTAAAAAGTGAAATATCGTAGTGTACATAACTAATCAATACCACTATTTTTGTGTCTGGTTTTACTCTTAATATTCACGAAAACCCAGGAGCTTCCGGGGGCTTCGCCCCATGGGCCCCCACCATGGCTTCGCCCTGGACCCACTGGGGGCCTTAAGGCGGCCCCCAGACCCCCTGCCTGAACAAAGTTATCCACGCCCCCCCTAATCACGAATCCTGTATCCGCCCATGGTTTCATAATATCCTTTACAATTATTACATAATTTTATGTTTTATACGTAGACTTTGACATTTTTCTGGGTTCTACTGAATCAAGGGCTAGTGTTGACATCGATTTGACTAATGAGAAAGGGGAATTCATTCTTAGTGCATGGCTGCGACTTTCACCGGCCTTCAACAAGACATATCCGTCACTTGTAATTAAAAACAATGACAGATGGCTGAAAACAATTTCAGTTGAGCAAAGAAACGACTCCAAGTAAGTAGATCGGAATCATTCAAATCCTCTGAAATGCAAAACGTTAATGTAATGTGCTCATTGATTAATATCACCGATTTTTTTTTAATCTTAGCAAAAATAATTCATCCATCTTTATTGACGATAAGGAATGGACATTTATTGTGCACACAGTGAATCTAACAGAGTTTGAAATGTCCAGAATAAATGAGAATAGAACCACTGGTTTTACACTGACAGGTACGGTGCAGATCTTTTCTTGGTTGCTTGAGGGCAGAACACCCCTCCACCGATTTAAAACCCCGGACCTTTTTTAGACTTTTTCCTATAAATTATTCTTCAGTTTCATATTTCATGGTTGTTTTATATGAGGAGTTAGTAGAAATCCTTATAAAATGTTTGTGTTAGGTAAATTTTCGAAGTGAAGGTGTGGATTATATTACAAATATGACACTGAAAATAATTTATGAGAAAAAAAAGTCAGGGGTCTACATCAGTGGTAGGGGTGATTCTATACTCAGACACCTTTGATTTTTTAGCTAAAAACCATACATTAAAATTTCTACAAATATAAATTGTATATCTCAGTATAATACCAGGCTTTATAAAGCAGATGTTATTTGTAGGTCCACTTATTGTATCTCAACTAAACATTTGGTCCTCAAATCGCACCGAAGAAGAAATAAGTAGCCAATCCAATCGCTGTATCATAAGCGAGAAAGGGGACGTTTTCTCTTGGAAAGATTGGGAAACAGCCCTTCTGATGGACAGTTTTATACAGATACCTAGCAGTTGTGATGGTAGGACATATTATTAATAACACTACCAATAAGAAAATTGAAGTAGTGAGGTTTTTTTGGGGGGAGGGGGGTCGGGGGGGGGGGTCAGGAAATAAGCATAAAAATGATGGAAAACAGCTGTATTGAAAGTATTTTTAAACAGAATTTATTATATATATTGCCTTTCTCTTCACTCTGTCGCCTTAACTTACATTCAGTTGAATTAATACGAAGGTAATTTATTGTATTGTTTTATTTTGCGCAGATGTAGATGAGTGTGATGAGTACCCATGTGGAAATAACACGTGCATTAACGAATTTGGTGGATTTACTTGTGAGTGTAGCCCGGGATACAGAGGGGAGCATTGTGAAGAGAACATCAACGAGTGTCTGACCAGTATCTGTCAAAATAACAGCACATGTGTGGACGGAGTCAATGGATACACATGTATATGTCCACCAAACTACAAAGGAAGATTCTGTGAATCACTTTTTTGTGAGTTAATTTATCAATTTAGCGTACTTTGCGTTTGTTATATTGATGATATGTTTGTTTGTTTATTTGTTTAACGCCCCTTACAGAATTTTTCACTCAAATTGAGACACCTCCAGTTGCCGGTGCAGGAATGCAAATTTAGCCTTGTAACCAGCATGTATGGTCTTTGAGCAGTGATGGATTTTTTTCGTGCCAGCACTTACTGTGAACGGGACCTCTGTTTATACGTCCCGCAGTAGATCTGAACCCGTAGCGTATGGATCAACTCCTTACGCCACGACTCTATCGCAAATGCTCTAGCCACGCAAGCAACTTCAAAATTGATGAAAATAAGTTATAAAGCCTTATTATACTAAACAACAGAATATTCTCTCATTTGAAGTGAATGGTAACTGGGGTAAATGGGACGAGTGGTCACCATGTTCGAAAACTTGTGGAAATGGAACAAAGAGTCGTTTAAGGTATTGCACTAACCCTGCACCGTATAATGGAGGGAAACCATGCACTGGTAGTGACAAAGAAATTGCTGAATGTATTGTTAAGGAATGTCCAGGTAATCCCAGTTAAGAAGATCAATTGCACAATTTACTTTACAGGAGGTCAAATTCTTATATTACAACACATACCAGAGTCTTGCTTCTATTTTTGTATGAAGTCTTCATTAATTTGATTTATAGTTGAGGAACAATTTCTTTTCAGTATGTTCAATTCTAGACGCGCCTGCAAACGGTTCATTAAACTGTAGCGGGTCTCCTGACATTGGATTCAATTGCACCATAAGCTGTAACCGTGGATTTGATTTTGACAAAGGCATCAAACCGTTTTACGAGTGTGGACCAAACACGTTCTTTTTGTGGGATTTTAAATCAGACGACAATCCCAATGGAGACCTACCAACGTGTAATCGTGAGTTCAAAATAGAAATCGAGAGAAAACGAGCGGTTTATAGATAAAATGGTACAAAAATAAAAAAAAATATTGAAGTAATATTTTGTGTTCAAAGCTAAACATCCTAAGCAGTCGAGTCTCTTAGTTATGCATCTTAGTACGAGGTGGAAATTGTTTCACTTAGCTAGCGGTTTGAAAATAACAATTCATTGCAATTGTCAAGATATAAGACAAATACTCGTTTCATCTAAAACCTTTAGATAAGTTTACTTACTTTATTCATTGACGTTAACAAAATATTTGTTATCATAACATCGTTTCTGCAAAGGCAACTCATGAAACACTCTTGAAATTATTTTTATATCTTATTAGCAACTAAGGAAAGCAAAGAACTAGCAGCGAACTTTTTAGCATTTTATGAAGATCTTTTCTGCGACGAGGGAAACAATGAAATCATTAAAAACAAAATGGAAGAAGTGGTTGATGTCTTTTTGGGAGATATTTCTTGCATACAAAAAAGGATTTGCAATTCTAGTGATGTCGTCATCTTGAATTGTGGTCAAGATTTGCAGCGAAAGAAAAGAGCTGTGAGGGGAGGACAAATGGCTGCAGGATTTAAAATCAAATTCACATGCTCACCAATAGAATGTATGATATTTGTATAGAATCTTGTTATTGAAACAGATTTCATCAAGATAAAACCCTCTCTTTTGAATAACTCTGCTTTAAATCCAAAAGAAAAACATTAATTTTCTAATGCAAAGTTTGATTTGTTTTAATTTGCTTGTTTTGTTTTTACTTAAAGTTGGATCGGAGGTTTGTGCCGAAGAAATTGTAGGTGCGATAAATAGTTTTCAACAGCCGTTTTCAAGAGACAAACTTGCAGTAAACGTTAGCGATGGTACTTACCAGATTGACTTAAACCAAACATCTGCCAGAGGAGAAATTCAGTGTGACATTGGATTCATCAGCTCTGGGATACACTGTGGTAAGTAATAAGTACAGCGCCTTTTGCGATTGACTCACAATGTTGCTTTAAAGATGATACAAATGTAAGATATTCTCTGGTTGTAGTACCATGTGGTGTGGGGAATTTTTTCATCGATGGAGAATGTAAGAAGTGCGATTACGGGTTTTATCAGAATGAGCTTGGTCAGACAGATTGTAAGAAATGCCCATCTGGAACAACAACCCCGGGGCGAGCAGCAAGGGATCTGAACAGTTGTTCAGGTAAGTTAAAATATATTTATTATTGCTATAAAGGAATACTTTATAAGATTTGAGACACTGGATTTATGAGATTGATCGCTGGTTATTACCTTTACAATTTTACATTCTCTATATATATTGCATTAAAATAGATTTATAATTTCAATCTTACAGTGATGATGATTCTTCAGGAAGATTATAGTAAGTAATCTAAATGTAAATTACATGGTATATACATAAGGACCACTTCAGTTTTCTTTTTAAAAAAAAAATATAGAATTTGAATGATTTTTAATGAGGAGTAATCGAAAATTCAAAAAGATTTGACTTGAAAAAAATGCAAGGAAATAATTACCCCCTTTAGAATTGTATTAGAATCTATTTGATGGAATAAAGAAAAATGGCATATCCGTGTACATATCTCAAGTAAAATGATATATTAAAGATTCTGAAAAATTATCAAGGCAATATTTGATAAATTGCTGTTTGCTCTTGTTTATGAAGGGAACTTGATTAATTATGCTTTGGCAAAATTTATCTTACCTTTACAAATTTTGATTGATTGTATGTGTTTTACGTCCCATTCGAGAATTTTCACTCGCATAGAGACGTCACCATATACCGATAAAGCACTTCAAATTTAGACCTTTACTCGGCACTCAGGGCCATTGAGCAATGAGGGTTCTCTATTGTACCAACGCCTGCTGTGACACGGGGCCTCGGTTTTTAAGGTCTCATCCAAGGGACCTGCAACTTTCACTACAAAGTGCGGAGGAACAGTTGCTACCTATTTTTTTATCGACTTAGGTCCCGGCCGAGATTCGAACTCACGGCCTTCCGATCATGGAGCAAGCGCTCTACCGACTGAGCTACCCTGACGGCTTTACGAATTTTGGAGAGAAAAAAAACAATATGTATTAGACTGAGATATTCATTTGGAAAAAGGTTCAGCATAGCATTTACAAACAATTAGTTTTGCATCTAGAGGTATGAAAAAGTTTAAGATTGTCAATAATCGAATACTAGTTATTATTAACAAATACTTTATAAATTTTTAACAGTGTTACCACTTTTACATTTCTTTTGTCACAGATGAATTGTACACTGGTGTTGGTGTAAGCATCGGAACACTCATAGTTATTGTTGCCCTGGTAACTGCATTTGTGTTTAAATTCAGAAAACTGGAACTAAGGTATGTAAAGTAAATAATGATCAATCATTCCATTTTTCTTATTTTCATATTTGTCGATAGTGTCAAACGTAATATAGATATGGTTTATTTAATTAATAGACTAGGACAGGGAAGCGTCAAGGTTCAGAAGAAAGACTGCCAGCCCGACGCCTTTAACTTTGATGAACAGGAAATACAAAGTGTTTCTCTGTGTACAATCAGGAAACTGGACGATAATGGGATTCCCTTTAATTAAAATCTCGTTTCCAAAACATCACAAAGACATTTTTAATTTTTGTTATTTTGACCAACTATGAATTTTGAAAGAAAAAGAAACAATTTGATAATTTTAAGTTTACTTTCCACTGGTAAACCACCTTGAAAACTTTTGTTGTTTATTTTTTTCATATTTGACGCTCTTTGTATACATGTGTTGAAGTGTTACATGTAACATCATAACGAATTTTTTTTTTATCATTATTACATTGTACTCTAAATGGACTGTGTTTTGTTTCTGTATATCTGAACCTTATCTTTATTTCTTTTACACAACTTGCAACTTTTTATGGACTTCTTTGGATTTTATATCTGTGATGCTATTGATTAATACAGAATTGATCTTGCTTCCTCTTGGAATATGCCACTGCTGAGGAAAACTTAGGCATGCTTGTTCTTCAGGGACATCCTTCAAACCTAGCAGTCTGAAAACTGAATGCAAGTTATTTTATCCACTTGAACTGAAAGCTCTAGTGGGCTTTTCTGTCGTCCGTCTGTTCTTCTGCCCGTACGTCTGTGAACTTATCACATTTTAACTTCTCAAGAACCAGTGTGCTAATTTCAACCAAACTTGCTACAATGCATTCCAGGGTGAATGGTATTCAAAATTGTTCAAGTGAGGGTTCAAGTCCTCTATCAAGAAGAGATAATTACGGAGAAGAGGAACAATTAATGACATTTAAAAAAAATTTCTTCGCAAGAACCACTGCGCTGGAAAATATGTTGAAAACTTCATTATATAATGTAAATTCAAATTTGTTCAACTCATGACCCCAGAGGATAGGTGGGGGCCCCAATGGTTGATAAAAGTTTCACATATGAATAAATAGGAAATAATTTTTAAAATCTTCTTATTTTAGTGCCATGTGGTCAGACACATCTGTTTCATATTTGGATATTCTACTAGAAAAAGACGCTAATGGTAACTTAACAACAAAGCTGTATGATAAACGTGATGACTTCAATTTTTCAAAAGTCAACTACCCTTGCTTATGTAGCAATATACCTTTATCACCTACATATGGGGTGTTGGTCTCCCAGTTGATTCGATACGTAAGAGCATGCTTTACGTCTGAACAATTTCCAAAACGAGGCAAGCTTTTGAGAAACAAGTTGATAAAACAAGAATATCAACAGTCTCGTTTAAAATCATCCTTTTGCATGTTGTATGGTCGATGCAATGACTTTGTCAGCAAATACAAACTGAAATTTTTCATTTCAATTGTTAAGTTATTATTAACACTGAATTGTGTACGGATTTTTCCGTTTTCCCCGCTCAAGATAAGGAGCACACGGCGGGTGTACCGGTCGGCAGGGATGCTCACTCTTCCAAGGCACCTGATCCCACCTCTGATGTTTTTGGAGGTCTTTGCTCTGCTCCCGATTTGTATTGTTTAAATGGACTTTGAGCTTGAATACTGTTCGTTATCTCAATATTTCATATGATAAATACTCTGCAAGATGAAATTTCAGTTTTATTTCAGTATAAATTAAATGGTTTAAAGGAAACTCTATGCAGGCAAATCCATCTAAATTTCAGGCAACTCCCTTCGGTAAGAAAATATTTGCTAATAAGTAAAAGAGAAAGATAACAAACAGTGATCGATCTCGAAAAATCTATAAACATCTCATATATGTGAAAAGGGAATAAAACACGGAGCCCTGGAAATTCCAGAAATGGAATCAGGTTTCTAGGAGGAGTAAGCATCCCCTGTTAACCGGTCACACCCGCGGTGAGCCCTATGTATCGATCAGGTAGACGGAACTACCCGTATTCAACTCAGTACCAAAACAAAGGTCTAACAATTGGTAAGATACAAGTCAAAACACGACCCAATGATGTTAGATTTACCAAAAAGGTCATTATAATGACCATAAAATTTACGAAATGCTGACTTTTAACGAGACTGTTGAAATTTCTGTAACATTTATCAGTTAGTAGCATGCCTCGCTTTAAAAATTGCCCTTAATCAGAGCAAGCTCTTGAGTAGCGAATAAGTTTGGAGACATAAACATAATAAGCAGGTAATAGAGGAATATTACTACATAATTTGGAAAGTTGACGATGGAAAAGCTAAAGTCATCTCGAATGTCATACAATTTAAATGTTAATTGGCCATTATCGTCTATAGTCCGTTAATCACCCAAATATAAAACAGATGTGGCAGACTGTATTGTGTCTTTTCTTTCAACTTCACTGGGATATATCGAGTCGACATACAAATGAAAATAAAATATTGTTAATTGATAAAATATCATCAATATATCTGAATGTCGAATTGAAGGGCCCAGCTAGTGTTTTCCTCTTTTCGTGTAGAATTTTTTAAAAGAAATTTGTTGGAAAACCTGGTCTCCGAAGATTACATATATGTTGTCAATGAGGAACTACAGCATTCTTTTAATATCAATTTCAGAGTACTTGTGTGTACAATCAGAGTGGTTTTTAACGATATAATTTTGCTGATGTCCAATTACAAGATATGAAAATTTCCGAGTTCCGTTTTTTAAGACGTACAACAGAGTGGAGGATATAACTCTTACAATTTCATTTAAACATTTAACGTGACGTCAAATTTCACGTTAATGATAAAGCGTCAAAATGACAAGCGATACGATCCTGATGTATTAATTATGAATGAAAAGTGCGATTAGGGGCTTGTTTGTGATTTCTATATAAGTACCAAATTCTATCCTTGATTATTTCTTTAATCAACCCCTCCACGTATAAAAAAACAGCTTACCCCTTAAACCATGTAAATTGAATCCGTGATTAAAACAACATTTTTTTATCCGAATATTTTTTATGTTAAAGTCTTTTTGCCGTTACATTAGACTACAAAACATTCCGATTACTGGTTTTCTTTTATAATGATGAATTTGCCAAATAAATAATGTTTTGTTCTCCTTTTATATATAAAAACAAACAAACAGACAAACCAAAAATTTTGCAATGTTATTATCGATATCGTTTTAAGAACCTCACTGATCAAAGAGGAACAACTCTGAAAATATAGGAGATGTTTGTTTTCCCTCCCCTTAGTTGAGTTATTTTTCCTGTTTTCCGAACAAATTATAATTAATTCACGAGTACACGGATATATTTACAGTGAGTTCTGGTGAACAGAAGCAAGTAAGTATCGACAAGTGAAGAAAAATTATTAACTAAAGTTATCTGAATTCATGGATATCTCATTGCGGCAAACTGTCCGACTTTCTGTCACTGTCAACAATGTCGGTTCGCATTTACTCAAAACAAATCTTTTTTAATCACTGTACACATAAATGAGTTTAAAATAGATGAAGAATTTACAGTTTGATACATTGAAGTTAAACTGGACAAATACAAAATTTCCATTTCATCTATAGAAGCAAGGGAAGGATGCATACAGTTTCGGGGGAGGGGGAGTTACCTTCATATCCTTTCTAAGGGCTTTCTTGTTTGAAAAATTTAAGAAACTAATAGATATGTTCCATTTACATCACAGGAGAGTTGAACATACACCATATGGACTAAATAATTCTACAGTGTAGCCACTGTTTCGTGGAGCTCCAATGGTTTGCGTCGCGAAAAAGAAAACTAAGGGGTGGGTTATAGTAAAAAAAATTGCCTACATTTAAATGCGCTTAAATTTGAAAACGCTGATATAAAATAATGGATATTATATTTTTAAAGCAAAAGATATTTTCCACCTTGGAATTCTTATGTGTATTTGTAGATTCATAGTATTGTTTTTGCCCCAAGTCTGAAAGACTCATGATAAACGTGATTTATGGAGAAAAAAGGGGGGAGCGTGATTTTCAGCTATAAATTCAAAATGGGTCGTTTAAAAGTTTCCAAAATGTAATGAAGATTACTTTTGCAACCAGCTACATAAAGAAAGGTTTTTCCATAAAAAAAAATATTTAAATTGAAAAATACGCATTTTTCAAGGCTAAGGTTTTTCAGTTTTACTTCTTCGAAACAAAATTTGTCGATATGTACTCCTATAAAATTACTTTATTTTTGTGTTTAATGGTCAAAAGAATGAGACAATGAAAATTGACAGCCAGGCTATCCTGACTTCTTTTGAAATCAAGGATTTTATATTTAGTTGATTGAAAATTTCTTCTCCTCTTGAACAGCCAAAGAGGGTAACTTTTGGAACTTCCTGTCCAAATACGACTCGAACGATTTTGTCCAAAATGTATATTAACATAGTAGATATAGTCTTGTATAAAATATACAAAAATAACGAAAATTAAGAGCCATTCCCTGTAATGACTTGAACTCTTATATAGGAGCTATGGCACGCATAGTCTCAGAATTTCTCCAAACTCTCTATGATAAAAGTCTTTGATACCGTAAACTCAAATCAGACAAAAATTGGTTGATATGTGTCATGGTTACCATAGCAATTTGTCCTAAAAAGTGAAAAATGGCATTTTTCAAGATGTTCAGAGTCCCACAGTTAACGTTTGCAGCAAAGCAAACAAGTGGCAATGACTGTTTCTGAAAGTTGAAGGCCTGGTGTCTTAAATGCATAATAACATGTTTGGTAAATCAACTATTACATACGTTAATATGGAAACAAAGTATTCAAAAGTAATAATTTTGTTCATTTAATTTTATTAAGTCATACACTTAAGAATAAAAATAATTATAGGTTGAAATGCAAGCAAATAATAGACAAGAGATCCTTGTAACATATACCAAGAACGAAATATGATATTTCTTGTAGGTTGGCAATGGTTGCCATGGTTTTAATACCACAAAGGGATTTTAAATTTACTCTCTTAGTGTTTTAATCTTATCCTTTCTTTTTAAAAAGCATATTTCTATATAACTGATGATCAATTTTTAAAGGTGTTGTTGTGACCCTAATTTTCACATTTCAAAAAATTCAAATTCAATTCTTTAAATAGGGTGTTGCTATGGAAATAAGACGAAAAAAACATCCATAAAAATCTGAAAAATACTCTGTTTCCTTTGATACGTACCTTTGTATGTAGATTCCCAAAACTTTAATGATTGATATATATGAACAACTAACCTGACTTTCAATTTTGACTACTATCCAATCTCTAACTGGATGCAAAAAGCTGGCAAATAGGTTTTAATATTGACATAAAATTAACAAAATCGAACATTTTCTCTTCTTGGTAACCAAAGCAACAGTGTTGTA